ATATTGGCGATAATGATTTATGCAAACGGATAAAGAAATTTCCACGTATTTCCTTGGGGTGTATAGAATACTAGTTCTTGATGAAAACATTACATAAATTGTAGTAAATTTGCTTTGTAATAACTTGGAGATAAAATTTAATTACAATAATAAATAAATTAGTGAAATTTATTTTCATTGCTTTATAATTATAACACTGATTCAAATAAAATTTATTACATATAATCGAAATGTAACATATAAAAAAAATACACATAGCCCGTGATAAATGACAAATTTTCTAATGTGAAGCCTTAAATTATAATTCGATTTTCCAGCAAGATTGCCCGTTGACCTTACCTTTTTGCTCCACTTTGAGAAGCTTCCATCGGCTTTTGTGCCTTCTCCACCTTAGCTTGCAATTTCTCATCTTTATACATAACGATCACTAATTCAGATAGCTTAAATGATGGCTTCCCCTCATTATCTAGCGAACATTCCATAATATATCATTCGGATGCATTGGTTACAATCCCAAATATCCTATCTACATCCTGTCCATTATCGATTTCATCGGCTTTGCGTTTATGTGACAAGGATGACTCCATATGCACAGACACCTGGGCGAATCCCTTCATAAAATCTTCCTTTTTAACTTCGATTATACCAAGGACCCTACCATTCTATTGCATTGTCGAGATTTCCTTGCCTATTTCGACCCTCTATAATTTTTTCTGGTATGAGTTTGAAATTATCTTTTTAAAACGAGACCCCAGAAGCCAGATAACAGTAAGGATAAATAGTCTTCGTTGCCACTTTTGCCTTTGTTGAGGGAGTAACATCTTGACGAAGTTTATTTCTGCCATTAGGTGCTTAATCACAGCCTTGGACTCATCTCTATCTAAGTCTGTAGAACCACATGAAAAGGAGGGAACACTTCGAGTCATTGCTAATAACATAAAGCTGGCACACATTTGGAAACGACCAATCTGAGAAAGATTTTGATGGCGTCTCGATGAATACAGTAAACTTGAGATATTTATTTGACACGAATATGCGGAGGATTTCACGAAAGTCTTGATCGTTCTAGGGCGAATATTGGTCTCCATCATTCATGAAGTTGAGTTCCGCACCATAATTTTCAAGTGATACATCTTACGTACAGTAATAATCTTTGAGCGGGAGTCGCATGTTCGATATTTGCAGTCCACTTATTAGGCTTCCGTTTCGGGTGAATGACTACGTCGAAATCTGTATGTATTAAATGCTGAATAAATTTTTCATAACCTTAAAATACTTCACTTAATAAAGGCAAGTAAAAAAGTTACGCACCACCATAGGCAGATTTGTAAAGCAATCCTGAAACGAAGCGAGTTGTTCCCTAATTCAAATACCTCCTTGCTCAAAATGACGGTTGACACGGGCGGTTCGACTAAGATATGGATATTCCTCTTAGGTGATTTCTCGTTCCAGTAGTCTCCTATTTCTCTTGTTGCAAGGAGTTCAGGTTAATTATTTATCCTTTTTCAATAGAGCTAATGATAGAAAGACCAAAACATGAGCTAGCTTAAATCCAATGAAGGATGGTCAACCTTAAGGATATGCACTTGATAACTTGCGTTAGGGAACGTTGAAATGAAAATGACCATAGTGACTAGAACTCTGAATCAGTTCGGATCGACCCGTTACCTGACACGACCCGATCTGAAAAATCCAGGTTAGTTGGTAGATTTTATAGTTATTTTTTTTTTTGTTTCGATCTAATTTATTTGATTTTTTTTTTTTAAAAATTAGTTTAGGATATCATAACCAGAGATTCTGATAAAGTTTTTGAGAAAGTATGGTTTTTGATGCTTATCATTTAGGATAAGCGGTAGGTGGGTTACCTTATGGAATTACTGTCACGTAAGTTATTTTAATTCTTTCTTGTCATATAAGTTGTATGATTATCGTTTAAATAATTTCAATTATTGTTAATGTATTGATTTGTAATGAATAAATAAAGTTCCCATGAACTTTTAACAAATGTTTATAAGATTATTAAGTTTTTATCGCGCAGAAAGACTAAGTATGTGACTGATTTTCAAATCCAAGAAGTGAAACTTTTATTCTTGAACTCGAAAATAAACCGATTCCGCCTTGCATTATTCCTCATCTTGATCCACGCCTTCAATATATAAGCACAACTCATCGACGTTATGATCGGCTAAATTCTCCCAATTTCGCGGGTTGCACGGTCTTGAAGATCTTGAAGAGAAAAGTTTGCCAATTCTTCATTCTTCCAGAGTTTAATATCTTTTGCATTGATGGTTTACCGTTTTCTTTATCTTCAACCTTTTTTTTTGGAATTCTATAGTAAAAATAAGTTTAGCCTAGTAAATTATACAAAAAATTTCATCATGAGAAAGAGATTATTATTAGTGGTAAAAGAAGATACATCTCTTTCATAATCAGCAACACCAAAGTTAGAGTGCCTGAATTAATTGATAGATACCAAACGAACAAACGCAGTAATTAAACTAGGAGTTACCCTTCCTTAGCAAAATAAACAACGCACCTTTTTGTTTAAATCCGCCAAATCCTTTCTTATCAATAGTTTTTAAGAGTTGTCCAACCAAAGAATTGTAGAGATCGTGCCCGTTATCTGATTCAAAATAATTTATAACCTCCGTAGCAAATTCTTTAAAAAAAAAAATCGTAGTAAAATAAATTTTAAAAAATAATGTTTTTTTTAAAAACATTCGTCACCGGGCAGTAGTAAAATAAATTTAAAAAAAATTAAAATCTTTTAGTAAATAAATTCTAAAAAAAAAAAATTTTGATGTTGATTTTGATGACAAATTTAATTATCATGAAAAGCTGCGGTGAAAACGAAAATTGAGTTTTTTTTTAAGAAATGCTGTTATTTTTAAGATATTGATGGTGGTAGCAAAGAAATAGTGATTTTTGTAAAAATTTCCGCAGTATGCCCACGCCGACTTCCCTTGTGTAACCTTTAAAATGCACAAAATTTCACGTGATATAATTTTTTTTACCTGTCACTTCCTCCGCATAACACGAATCTATATCAGAGCTTTATCTAACGAACCCACTCATATATCGAATACAAAAATAAATTTCAATTATTCTGAAAAAATAAAAGAACAAAAATGACCATTTTTAAAAACTCACAGTATCATCCATTTCTTTAATACAAAATATTGTTTGTTCTACTAATTTGTTGATTAAATCTGAAAATATAGTATGTTCTAAAGTTGATTAAATAATTTGTTCTTCTTTATTAACGATCTCAATATGAAATTAGCTAAACAAATACGGATCGAAAACTTCAGAAAAAAAATAATACAATATACTTTTAATTAGCATTGTGAAATGAATTAAACTGGAAATATTTTTGAATAAATAAATTTTATTATATCCAAGGTAGAAAATCTGCATAGAATTTAGATAATGTTAAAATATTTTTTTGGCAAAAATAATAAATTTAAATATTAAAAAATATCAATTATTTCTTTCATTTCTTTGGGTTTTTCATCTTATTCATCATTTTCTTTTCGTCTTCCATCTCGTTTAATAGTAAGGATAGATTGTTCCTAACTCATAATAGCATTAGTTATTTTGAGCCAATCATTTTCAAGTATAAGGATTTTATCTCTGGAATCAAGTACCTGAAAAGATGTGGGTATCTTAATTCTTCTAATATTCACTGACAAGTTGTCAATGATTCTGAGGGAACGAGTTCTTGCACCATTTGCTGTTACTACTATCATTTTTGAGGGTTGACTCATTTTATATCCTAATTTTCTACTAAGGCTTTAGTTATGATGCTGGTAGCAGCTTCACTATTGATGATTGCAGTTTGAGTTTTTTGTCTAATCCTCAAGATACATTTTGCAGCAGAGGTCAGTTCGTCATCACTTTCTACTAGATTAGCTTCCTTAATTTTGTTAGTAACTCTTTCTCTTGAATGTCTATCAGCTCGAGCTAAGCCAGAATGATATTTAAGAATAGTATGTGTGGCTTATCCCACTGATAGTCTATATAGTAAATTTTGCAAATAGGTAAAGACATTAAATTTAGTTAGTTGTTCAATAAGAGTAAGTAATAACCTTCTTTTAAGGGCTTTTAACTCTTTTTCAGTTCTAACTAGTTCAGTCATAAGTTCTGATATTAGTTCTTTCATGTCTAATTCTTTGACGGTTATTTTAGTTTTAGAAGGATTTGAAATTTTACTGGTTCTCTTTTATTTTTGTACACAGCATTTCTTGAATAAGGTCTAGATCTAGTGTTCAGGTAAACTTCATATTCGTTTTCCTTGTAATATTCTTTTGAAGTATATTTCTCGTCATCTTATTTTTTTTCATAATATTGGTTAGCTAGATGTACATCTTGGTATCATCATAACGAGATCTTTTATTAATCCTTCTTGGTTGCTGATAAGGTTGAGAGCAATTTCTTGCTATATGTCTTTTCTGTTACAATTATAACAAGTCATAGAAGTCATAATTTGTCTGAGTCTCCTTGTAGCATCATTATATGTTTGTTTTGTTCGTCTTCTTAGTGGTTGTTGAAGTTAAGCTAATAAAGCAGTCATCAAATTAGTATAGTTAATAGATAGCTGTTCCAATTTCTTAGTGAGTTCATCCACTTCAACATTGGTAACCACTTTTTTAAAAGTAGAAGCTGTAGTAATACTAATATCTTTAGGAGCTTTTCTAGAAGCAAAATTATATCCAATTTTAATAGTTTATGTAGAGTTTATAACAGCATCTAAATTAGCAGGATTTTATGAGTAGACTAATGAAGTATAAGTAGGATTTAGTCATATAAGAAACATTCTTTTCTTTTGTGCATCATCTGTTAATCCTACACGAGTTACTAATTTCTTGAATTATTAGCATAAAATCTACAGATTCATCTATTTGTTGTCACAGAGAAGTTAATTTTAGATACTATTGATTTTTCTTAGTTTTACTAATAAAACGAGCTTTAAATAAATTTACAAAGTTTTGACCACCATTTGCTTCAGTATTCTAATTATCTTTCATTGCTATAGTAATATTATTAAACCAATTAGCCACTATACCTTTAAGATGTCCTCTAGCAATAGTTTTCTTTCGTGCTTCAATTATCCACCTATTGGTAATTGCAGCTCTTTCAAACGTCGTGAGCCATTCTATAGGATCTTCATTTTCAGCTCCTGAAAAATAATCAATTTAATAGTAGATCTTTCTTCTCTTTGAACTAGTTGGAGTCGTTCACTAATATCTGTTAAGTGTTGTCCATTATTTCCAAAAATTTCTTGAAAAATAGCTCTTATTTAATCTTTTAATACAGCTTTTATTTCAATTTCAACTGGGGTGAATTAGAGGATGAGTTTAAGCTAGATGCGAAAGGTGTTGAAGAAGCAACAAGCTGTTATAGTAATTGTTGATCAGCTATAGGCCTCACTAGATTCTGTTCTAAGATTTCAGTATATACTCTTGAAGAAATAGATAAGGTAATAGGTTGTTGAAAATAATTTGTTCAAAATAATATGCCTTATACGTACAAATATATTATGTCTGCTAAAAAGATTGAACACGATATCAAATGCTAGCAAGAAGCTGGTAGATAACTCTTATTAGGTGAGAATTATGATGTTCAGATTCAGGAGTACTACTAAGTTGTTCAAATAGATTAAAGGTAATGATAGTTCTTGAGATAAAAGTGTCTGCTTAATATTCACGTCTAAACCAATTTTAGAAATTTTTAAAGCTATTGAAAAGAGTTTTGATTGGAAAGGTGGATAATACTAATTACAAGTATAATTTTGGTTAAAAGGTTCATCTAAGTAATGCCTAACTATATGCTATGATGTAGTTCTCTCAAGTTTCTTAAAATTTATACATCTTGCTAGTTCTTCAGCGATTCATTATATATATTTTCAATAAAGATTCTCCTAACAGAAATCATCACTTATTACACCTAAATACTATGTCATTAAGATAACAAAGCTTATTTGCTAACAGAGAGTTTAAGTTATAAACTATGAAATAAATAAACATGAATTTATTTAAGTTGAAGGGTCAGATCGTTTTTATTGATAATTTATATTTTAAAGAAATAAATATTGACAAAGATATAGTTTTTATGTTATTAAGATTATACTTTATTAATTGTATGATAAAAACTTGTTAGTTTTGTCAGAGCGATAATCCAAGATATTAATATAAAATACAATTATAAAAAAGAAATAATAAATATAATAATGAAAGTAAATATAACTATGAAAATAAATATAATAAATAAAATAAATATTACAACGATAACTATGATAGTAGTGAAATTAATGAAAATGATGATCATGATTTTCCTAGTGATCACTGGTGGTATTAACTAGTGTAGTCATTTAGTGACGCAAACAGATTATCACTAATAATGTACAGAGGGGAGATAAAATATTGCACGGTCAAAATTTATCCAATTTAATAAATTGTTAATATGTAATTGGCTATGTGATTTTTATATTATATATTTTCCAAATAGAATATTTGTTTATTGTTTTGATTTAATATGTTAAAGATTGTAAAAATCAGGTTTAAAAATCTCTACCATTTTCAACTTTGCGTATGCGATGGGTCTTACTAAAGAATTAACTCCTATACAA